GTGGCTTAGGGCCCTGGGGTGTTGGTGGTGTTGTCCCTGGAGAAGAGGCCTCTGCACTGGGTTCAGGGGTCAGTGTGATCCCTGAAAGTTCTGCTTGTTTGTGGTCAACTGGGCCTTCTGGCTTGGAGGAAGAGGGAGAAAAGAGGAGGAGGGAGGGAGGGGGAAGGTAAGACGGAATGAAAAAATAGGAGGGAACACTTCTTCTCCAGCCCCTTAGGCATTGGCTCACAGTGGGGGCTTGGCTGGCTTTGCCAGTGGCTCCCTTGCCCTTTACAGATTCTAGATATACATTTTCCTTAAGACTGGTTGTCTGCAGAACTGGGGAAACAAACCAGAGCCCCTCATAAATCAACAGAGGTCACTGCCAAGAGCTTTGTACACTTGCTGTCCCTGGCAGTGATAAACTCATTGCATTTGGGAAATGGCCAAGGACCCTGAGCCCAATCTTAATTCTCATTCCCAGAAAAATCTCAGCTCTCTGCTCACCCACCCCCGGTTCACTGTCTTTGTGTTTCCTAGACAAAGCTGGTGAGGAGGAAGGAACCCGTTTCCATAACTGGGCACATCAAAGGCTGCATTTCTTTGCTTGGGGGAGGGCTAGCTGGGCAGGAGAGAGCCACAGATCCTGAGGCTGTGGGGAAGAGAGGCCCAGGCCAGAGGGAGGCTGGAGCTGGGGCCCTGCAGAGCTTCTGGGGTCCCTCTTTGGGGGGGCAGACCTGTGCCTTGGGTCTGCTGTTAGTGCTTTGGCGGCTTCTTCCTCATAGAGTGGTCGGAATCATGGCCAAGGGTAGCAGTGAGATTGGCAGGGGCAGGGCACCCCACACAACCCATCCTCTTGTGGCTCATCTCACCTCCTGCTTCCTCCCCACGCTGCCTTGCCTTGGTGCCTGGCTATGGCGTTGGCCCTGTGGTGTGAGGAAGGTGAGAGCAGTGCCAGACTGCTCTTCCACCCATACCAGCCTCCCTGGAGAGAGGACACCCCGCCCCAGCTGTTTCCTCCCTGTGCCTGGCTCACCCTTCCTGCTCCAGTCAATCCGACTGTGCAGCTGCATGGGCAGACCCTCTCCCGGGTCCCCCGGAACTGGGAGACACATTGCTCCCTGCCTACTCAGATCTCCCTGTGTGCATAAGGATCTCTCTGACTGACCAGCATTCCTAGCAGGGCTGCTTGTCCCCAGTGGTGCCCATTCATAGCACCTTGAACTTGAACTTCTCCATTGGAGCCCCTTGCCCCACAGGCCATGGGCATCTTCGTGCAAGGTCTGCCTTGCCTGGTAGACTCAGAGCAGGATGACAGTAGAGACCTGCCTGCCTTGGCCAGGCTGTAACCTCGGCCGCTGCTGCCCAACACATGCCCCGTAGGTGTCTGCTGAACACCTGCGGCTAAGTGTGTGGGCGTCGGCCTTGTCCTGCTCCATCTCCATCGACAAAGCTCTTCTAACAGACCAGGCTTTCCCTTGCCACAGTGAACCTTTAGGAATTAGCAGGATGGGGACAGAAATGTGTCACCAGGCCAGAAGAGCTAGGCTGGAAGAGGTTTCCTGAGCCCCCTCGGGGCAGCAGGGCGGTTTCTTGAAATATATCCTGGGGCTTTTGATTCCTCTGCAGAGTCAGAACAAGAAGTAGGGACCCGTCGCTTAGGAGGGGAGTTTGGAAAGGGTCCAGGCACCTTTCCAGATGACTCAGGAGCCACCTGCCTCTGTCGGCCAGACACAGCAGGGCCTGCCTCGCAAAGGAGGCAGTGAGTCACTGTTACCTTGGGTTACATTTGTGCTGGGATTTAAATGCTAGAATAATTCACAGCAACAGCAAACCAGAGGCTAAGACGTCCTTGACTGGGCTCTAAGACCAGTAGGAATGGGTGAGCCAAAGACTCCCATTCCTTGGATATGGGGGAGGAGGCCGGCAGGAGGGGGACCCTTGCCTTCCTTCCATGTAGAGAGAGCAAGACCTGGACCTAGCCATGAGCCTGAACAAGCATTGGGCCTGCAAACCTGCTGCACATTCAATTCATACACGCAGCTCAGTGAACCAAGAACCCGTGCACATCCAACTGCCATTTGATCCTCTAGTGGATGCCATATATCTATAAGAGAGAAAGGGGACAGCTCTGTGGCATAGTGGGTTAGGCTGCCATATTAGAGCTCCTGGTTGGAGTCCTGGGTGCTCCACTTGAGATCCAGCTCCCTGCTAATGTACATGGGAAAGCAGAGGAAGATGCCCCAAGTGCTTAGGTCCCTGCCACCTGATTAGGAGACCTGGATGGAGATCTTGGCTCCTGGCTTCAGCCTGGCCCAGCCCAAGCCATTGTGACCCTTAGGAGAGTAAACCGGAAGATAGAAGATTCTCGTTCTGTATCTTCCTCTCTGTCACTCTGCTTTCAAATAAAATAAATCTTTTAAGAGAAGAGAAAAGCACACTCTTCCCAGCCTCAAGGAGCTTAACTACAGGGAGCTTTTGTCTGAAAATTTCAGGCAAACACTTTGTGAGACCGCGTGCATATGAAATTTGTCCATCTGAACTCTTCTGGACTCTGCTGATCGTCCCAGAACCAGCCCAGCCCTTAACTTCCTCTGATTCCTTGCGAAGGGTCCGTTACCATGGGGGGGGGGGCGCCCTGCTTTGGTAAATTTGGGGACACCCGAGATGAAGTTGGCCTCAAACAAGGCTCTTTGGGGTCCCACTGAAGATAAGACAAAGAGGCCCCCTCAAATTTCTTGCTTTCCACTTTAAAATTTTTTTAAAAAGTCTTTAAATTGAGAAAAATTATATGCGTTTATGGTGTTCAACATGATGTTTGGACACAGTATTTGATACGTAAGATACAGAATGATTCCATCAAACCATTTAACATGTGCGTTACCTCACATGCTTGTTTCAAAGAAAACACTGAAAATGGACTCTTAGCAGGTAGATGGTGTATTACGAATGCAGGTGCCACGATGTCCAATAGATGGCTTGACTTCTGCCTTCCGTGTAAGGGAACTGTGTCGTCTGGCCGACATCTCCCCAGTCTTGCCTGTTCCCCACCAGCCTCTGGAAGCCACCCCTCTCTCCCTGCTTCTGTGCGTTCCACTGTTTAGATCCCACGCGTGATGGGAGACAGGCAGGAGTTGTCTCTGAGCCTAGCTTTTTTCACGTCATGTCCTCCCAGCTCACCCGTGCTGTTCCAAGGACAGGATTTCCTTCTTTTTAAGGCTGAAGAGTGATCCGTGGTACGTAGCCACCACGTTTCCTGTACCCACTGGCACGTCACACACAGGTTAATTCTGCATCTTGGCTACTGGGTGCTCTCTTCCTTTGGTGCTGGGTAGGGAGAGTCTTGGCGAGCCCTGGCCTTGACTTCAGCGTCCTCTGGCCTGGCAGCTGTACAACATGCTCCCCAGCTCACAGGAGGCAGAGAGCTGCCGCTTCCACGCCCTCCCTGGGAAGAGGGCATCGGTGGCCAGTCCTGCCTCTTGGCTGTGCACTGTCGGCTCCCTTCCCCACTGAGCACCAGGGCCTTTGCCCAGCTTCACGGGAGGAACAGTGGGCTCGTGGGGGAGAGGCCAGCAGCCAACAAACCCTCCCCACCCACTCCCACTCCTAACAGGTCCTCTGTGGGGACAGCCCAGCTCTCTCGGGCAGCTGAGCCGAATTCCAGTTCAAGGGACAAAGCATCCTTTTTCCACCTCGTGGGATGGGCCAGGGTTTTCCTGCCTGTGATGAGGACAGACCTGCAAGAGGACCACAGGGATGCAGGAAGTAGTTGGAAGTCAGGGGTGAAATCCATTGCCAAGAACAGAATGTAAATGCCTCTTGGCGTCCAGGAGAGGAGGTAGCTCCATGCCACTGCACCTGCCTCTCCTGGATGTCAGCCTCAGGCCTGGTTATTTGTCCACAAGCCCCGTGGTCTGGCTGCCAAAAGCCTCTTCCAAGTGGAGTGGACGGCCCTGATATGCCGAAACTGACCCAACTGCAGGACTGACTGTTGGTTGTCTTTTCCAAATTATTTTGTTATTTACTTTTCATTTATTTGAGTGAGACAAAGCATGAGTGGAGTCCTATCTACTATGCATTCCTCAGATGCACACAACAGCTGAGGTTGGGCCAGGACCCAACCACTTGAGCCACCACTGCTGCCTCCCAGGGTACACATTAGCAGGAAGCTGGAGTCAGGAGCCAGAGCTGGGAATTGAACCCAGACACTCTGAGGTGGGACAAGGGCATCTTCACTGCTGGGCAGACACCCACTCCCTGTTTGTTTGATCAAACTTTGAGACACTTGGAGATTCACATGTTGTTGCATGAAATAACAGAGGTGCACCACAGAGCCAGTTTCTCCCAGCACCAACATCCTGCAAATCTATAGTGTAGTATCACAGCCATGGTTACATGCACGAATTTTGTTCAGATTTCCCAGTTTTACTTCTATTCATGTGTTTGTGTGTATAGCCATTTAGTTCTGTACAACTCTATCACGTGTACAAGACACGGCAAGACAGAGAACCATCCCATGACTGCAAATACCCTTACTGCTGCCTCCTGTTCTCCCTCCGTTCCCATCTCCTTCATCCCCCACCCCCTGGCAGCCACTAAACTGGTCTCTGTTTCTGTAATTTGTCATTTTGAGACTGCAATATAAATGGAAGCCTGGAGTCTGTAACCTGGGGGTTGGCTCTTGCACGCATCACAGTTCCCTTGGGATTCATCCAAATTGGGTGCAGCAAGAGTTTGTTCCTTCTTGCTGCCGTGCCTGAGATTTTAATCAGAAGCATCCGACATGGCTCCTAGGCCCAGTTACAAATCCCGTGGGACGTGAGCCTCAAGGACCTCTTAGTCCAAGAAAGGAAACCTGTTCTGGGTCTCTGGGTGTGTGTGGTAGAGGGAGGCGGAACGTGATGCAGATTTTCCAGGTTCCTGTGCACGTACCCAGGGCCCCCTGTATCTGCTGGGTTGTGGTGTCCGTTCGTGCTGGCTCACAGCTCTCCCCGTGTCTCCCCACCTCCTTCCTTCCCCAGGAGCACATCTACAAGCTGATGAAAAGTGACAGCTATGCCCGCTTCCTCCGGTCCAACGCTTACCAGGACCTGCTGCAGGCCAAGAAGAAGGTATCTCTGGCAAGGGCGGGCTTGCCTTCCTTAGCCCTGTCCACTCCTGCCTGCTGCTTGCTGCGGTGTGAACTGAGAACGGCACCCTCTGGGTTTCTTTCTTTTTTTTCCTTCCTTCCCTCCTCTGCCCATGCCCACTCCAGTTAGGATCGGCACTACCCCCTCCTCCCAAGGGCCCAGGTCCAGGTGCTGCTTTGCTCCCTCCAGTCCCCGCCACCTCTGCACGTGGAGGGGCGTGGGTGCTGTGATCCAGGCCACAGGGGGTCAGCACAGGAGTGCAGGACTGGCAGGGACACCAGGAGTCCCTGAGATGCCGCAGCCAGCCTCATATTGCAGTGTCCGGCCCCACCCCACAGCCTGTCTAGCCCAGCAGCGCATACAGGGCAAGGATGGGGCAGCCCACTCACTGGGCAGGAAAACACGTCCGTTTCAAGTGCCTGAGGTCATCCCCAGGAGGTTCCCTGCCTTACCCCCCACCCCAGTGTTTCCCTTTGCATTTAACCAAGAAGAAACCACATCCTGGCTCCTCCTCCTCCTCCAATCAGCGGTGAGTCCTGGTTCCCTGCTGCCCTTGGAGTCATGGATTTGGGCGCCCAGGGACCTGAACGTGCACGTGGTGAGGTTGGTGAGGGCGACTCCAGCAGCGGTGAGCTTGGCTGGACTTTTGGGAGGAGGGAAGAGCGAGCAGGGAAAGGCATGAGGGCTGGGAAAGTGGAGGCGAGAGAGATGGCTCATGATTCAGAGTGCCTACCAACCCTCTGTACTCTTCACTGGTGACGTGAGGCCACGTGTGGTGAAGTGCACCTCGATTTGCCCCAGATTCCATGACTCCTGTGCCCCACCACATAGGAGCACGTGAAGCCCACCCGTCTCCCTACCCCAGTCCTTAAGTGTGGTTGTCCATGCACAGGCTCTCTGTCGGGCTTCCTTGCTCAGCCACGCGACCTCTCTGTGTGCTGTCTACCCCTCATGCCAGGATCCTGTCTGTGTATCTGGTCAGCACCACACAACTCAAGAGTCTAGCACAGTGTGGTCTCCTGCTCTGCTGCTTTTAGGGAGCCCTGAGTGGAGCCTTAATAGTCTGAGAGAGGGAAAAAAAAGACCTTCTGGCATGGCCAGATGGTCAGGACCCCGGCTCTCCGCGTCCTGCACCCCTTTCCCCAGGGGCAGCTGCACGGATGCGTGGGAAGCTGGCCTCTTGCCCGCTCCTGCTGGAGGATGTCACAGCACAGTGTGCTGGGGCAGGGGTGCTGATGGATGAGGGCTGACACCCCACAACCGGCCCGAAGCCCATGGCTTTCAAGTCCTGGGAGGAAATACAGAGGCTGTGGAGACTTTGACCTCTACAGCCTGGGTCCCACGGGAGATGTCAAAGTCCGTTTTCCTTATTCCTTGTGGCTCAGGATGCCTGTCCTGCTCACAACTTGGGGACATTGTGAGGCCCTAAGGAGGCTGACCTACGTGGGGCTCTCTCTACCCCTAGCAGAGGAGCTGCCCCAGTCCATTCAGAACCTCCCACAAGGGAAAGGCACCCGGAAGTGGGCAGAGACCTGCACCTGCAGAACTTCCCGTATGAGAAGAAGACCTTCCAGAGTGGTCGATTGAGTGGGGAGGGGAGGAGTCGCTGGCAGTTACAAGGGAGGTTCATCAGAATTACCTTCCCAGCCCCTGAAAGAGGCGACGTTCCTACAGCTCAAAGCCTGGCGACACAAAACCCTCTCGGCAATGAGGAGTTCAAGGTTCCCCAAAGCAGTGACAAAAGCCCCTTGCCCCATCCGCTCCTTCCTGAGACTCCAGGTGTGACTCTGACTTCTACCCAGCATTTCCAGGCAGGCTCCGAGCGTCCCCTGCTCTCAGGGTCGGGCTCACCACGTGATGTCAGTGTCCAGGTCACACCGGGCATGTGGGCTTCACAGCCTCCAGCCAAGAGAAGGGGTAGGAACGGGTCTCTTGTTGCTGCCGGGAGCAGCCCCTGCTGGAGTCGGGAGGCGCAGCCTTCTGATGCTTCATCCATAATTGATCTTCTTTTCAAAGGAAAGGAGCAAGGTTCTCGGGGCGTAGGCGAGCTGGGTTTTGAGGGCGACCCCAGGATGATTAATTACCAACGATGCTGGTTTCCCAGGTCAGCTAGGAGGGGCTGTACAGACCAGAGACCTTGAATGAGACAGGCCAATGGCTTGTCCCGGTGAACAGCAAGGCAGTAGCCAGGGGACAATGATGACAGGCACAGCACTAGCCACAGGGCCTGGGACCCACCTGACTTGGGCCCAGTGCACTCTCTGCGGGCAGCTCACGGGATTAAAGCTGAGCCCCTCCATCTGTGAACGGAGACTCAGTTTGGTCCCCAGGGCCAGGCACGGATCCCTCCCCTCCCTTGTGCAAGCAGAAACCCCAGCCCCACTCAGTGGCCGTGTTGTCGTTGGTGTTGTGTTTTCCTTCTACAATCTCGTGTGTGTCTTCCAGTGGCCAGGGGCGTGTCTGCCAGGAAGCCCTCTGCCTCTGTCCACGTAGACAGGTGGCTGCCTGGGTCCTGCCCCTCTGCTCTCAGCACTTCCTGCAGGACCCACAGATGCCTGGCTGCTTCGGCAGCTCTCCCGTTGAGTTGCTGGGCATCTGTGTGTGCTCCTGTGAGCGTGTGCACCCTTCTAATTCCCTAGCCGGGGGCTCCAGACCGTGGAACAGGGCTCCGGGATCAACTTGCAGGTAGGGAATGTGGGGCAAAGGCCAGACACACCCCACCTCCTCCACCCCCTGCAGTCTGGAGTTTGCCTTCTCTTGACCGAGGCCCCTCCCCCTCAGAGTTGCCCAAGCTATTGAGTACACCTTGAAAGGTGTCGCCTGCCTGGGTACCCAGAGCATTTTTCCATGCAGAACACAGGCCCTGGACGGACCCTTTATTATTGCCAAGGGCATGGGCAGACCCTCCTTGCTCTACAGCCCTGGAACAGAGGTCATGGGGTTCATAAATCACTGACATTAGCAAACTTTCCGGCTGCCTCTGAGCAGGGACCTCGCACTCAGGCTCATGGATGATTTGATGGCCTCCTGACATCCCATCCTCCCCCCCCCCCCGCCCTCAGAGCTAGTGTGTTACCACGTGGGGCACCCAGAGCACTGCCTGGGGCCTGGGGTCCCGACCCCAGTGGAGCTCTTGCATGTGGGGGCAGCCCGCTGAGAGCCCCAGACCACCAGCTGAGTTCTTAAACCCGGCTGTGCTGCACAATCCCTGGCCCCCGGGGAAGCAAAGCCCCTCTGGGCTCCCAGGAGGCAGTGCCATTTCTCTGGGCTTCTGTTTTCTGTCTCTCCCAGTGACTCTGCCAACGGCTCTGGCTGCTTCTCTTTCTGCATTTTTTTGGTCCCATTTGGCTTTTGGTTTTGTTCTTTAGCCGCGGCTGCCGCTGTGTGGAGACCACATGTAAGCTGAAGATTTTTTTTTCTGTATTTTTCTCCCTACCTTTTTTTTTTGTTTGTTTGTTTTTCCCTAAAGCCAGAAAGTGAGCAAGGTCGTAGAACCTCCCTAGAAAAGTTCACTCGCAGTGTGGTAAGTTCAGTCGGTTTTCTTCCCGTGTCGTTTCTCTTGGTTTCTGCAGTTGTTGTTTCTTCTTTGGTTGTCATTTTCTTTGGGGTGGGAGGGAGCCCAGTGCTTTCCCCCTTCCACTTACCCCCCTTTTTTTGCGAGTGTCTGCAGCTTCTCTTCGAGAGATGGATTTGCAAAAGAGCGAGCGGCTCCCACTGCAGCAGGTGCACCCTGACCACCCAGCCTCAGGCCTGGGCATATGTGCTTCTGGTCAGGGGTCAAGAAGGATGGACTCCCCCCTCCACTGCCCTGGGGGCTGTGTGGTGGGTGCATCTCCTGCAGCTGCCTGGGAAGAAGGCCATCGAACTGTACCATAAAATAAATTGGCTCAGAACCATTGCTGATCTCAAAAAAAAAAAAAAAATCCAAATTTCCCCTGTAAAACACTGTGGCAGCCACGCTGCTTTGGGTCATGAGCTGATCTTGCTATGTAGGCGGCTTTTGCTGTGTGCAGAAGGCGGCCGTGCTGCATGGGTTCTAGTGATGTGGCCTCGCTGGCGTGTGTGTTAGCCACCTCTGCATGAGTCCCTCTGTCCCTTGCAGCCCCGTCAGCCTCATTTGCATAGGGTGACAGGAGAGAAGAGCAGTAGCTGAGTCCCTGCACTGTCCCTGGGATTTCCCATCCACCAGGGGCAAGGCCTAGTCAAGCCTTCATTCTGATGGAGCAGAGTGGGATACCGGTTCACTGTCATTAGAGGGAAGTGGCCTGGCCCCCATGCACACCCACAGCTTACAGGCCCACACAGGGGCACCGGGGGGGAACCCCATCACAGCAGATGAGAGCAAGCAGTGACCAAGTCATCCCCGCAGGACATGCTGGAGATTCTATCCCATGGTCTGCAGAACAGCTTAGACCTTTCCCGCTTCCCATGTAGTTCTCTGAGATTTGAGCATAGGATTGGGTGCACAGAAAGTACTCATTCCCACTCACTGCCTGACTCATCCAAAACAAGCCACCCTCCTCCAGGGGCCCAGCCTGCTGTTAATGTTGAATCAGAGTGAACCAACATGGCAGCTGGGGACAGGACAGGGACCCCGTGCATGTAACTGGCCACATAGCTGTTCCCAGAAGGTAGAAGCTCCCAGTGTTGACTTCCTTTCTGCCCCTGTTGAAGAGGAAAGTCCTTGTAAAACCTGACTACTATATGGTTAGCATCCTTATTTCATCCTTTTAACATCAATTCTAAGGATCGCGGGTTGAAAGCAAACTAGCCATTTACTTGTCATAGCCAGGTGCATATTAACGGCATTGAAACATTATTTTGAATTCATTGGATATGGACATTGAATACTCTTGTAGGTAGTGATTAAAATATGGGTAGTCATCCCTTCCCTTCTTTGGTCTTCCCTCCTAAGGAATCATAACATGCAGAATGCAAGATGTGCTGGCCCCTCAGCCTAGTGGCAGGTGCGCCAGGCCATCTGATTTCACACACCAAGCAGATGCCACAGGATATCAGGGGCACGACCCATGGACTTCCTCCACCCACAACAGCCCAGTAGGGTGGCAGAATCCCATTCCGCCTCTCTCTCTCTCTCTCTCTCTCTCTCTCTCTCTCTCTCTCTCTCTCTCTCTCTGCCTGAATGCTATGGGTAGAGGATACTTAGAGCTTTTGTTGACCCCCCCCCCAAGAGTATATGGTGTAGGCATCTTGGACTTTCAGGTTCAGACTCTAGGAAATCAAGGCTCTGACCGTCCTCATGCAGGCACTTCCGGTTGAATGTATGATCTTAAAGTGGGAGAAGACGATGTCTAAACATCTTTAGGATGATTTGTGTGAGATGTGTGTGTGTCAGGAAAGGCAAGCGTGGCCTCGCTGATGCTCTGTGAGGAGCAAATGTTGATGTCCCTTCATCCCAGAGGTCTATCGACAAAGTGTTTGGAATGGGAAAGCAGCAGACACCCCCAAGTGTCTGCAGTGTGCACCTAGGAGAACTTAGAGATACTCTCAAGGTGAGCTGAAGAAGAATGTCTCACTCCCCTGACATTTTTAGCATCTGTGTGATAGATGGCACACACTTCAATGTGTGGTGTGTTCTTTGGTTGCCATGGTAGAGATGGACAGAGGTCTGTGGCCATACGACCCTGAACAGCCCAATCTCGTCTGAGCTCGGAAGCTAAGCAAAGGGTTGGGCCTGGTTAGTACTTGGACGGGAGATGGACCCCCATTGGTCTACCCATGCTCCTTGGATCCTTGGCTAACACCCTGTCTCCACTTAGAGGTGGCTAAGTTTGGAGATACAGGTCATGGCTGTAGAACAGTGTTGGTGTTCTGTTGACTCAAGGTTGAAACCCAAGGGTTTGGTCTCAGATGCCCAGTGTTCTGATAGAATGGAACAAACCAATCAATGCATCTTGCAATTTGATATCCATTTTTGGAAAATTAGATACTTAAAGTGAGTTTATCTAAAAGTTGGTCTACATGACTATTTCACCTTATGCATACTGCAAACTGTAAAAGAACATGAAGAGCTAGTTCAATAGCACTCCCATGTGTAAAATGACCACCCATATTTTGGGGCTAATTATGGAAAAAATGAGGGATTGGAGCTGGACAACTGCTGGACCATGGACCCGAGGCTGGCAGCTGTTGAGAACTGATGACCAAAGACATTGATCCGGGTGGCTGAGAGCTAGCTCAGTCAGCTGGAGCGTTGTCAAGTCTGAATCCAGAATGTCTCCCAGAAACTATGTCTTTTCTGCGCTTGGCAAAAGAGGAACAGCTGGAAATGGCAAATAGTTTTTTCCCAGTCTCAAGGTGTCTGGTGCCATGAATGAACTCTGTTGAAGACTACGTTACGTGAGGTCCTAAGGAATATGGTTTGTGGACGCTTCTAGGGCCATGTTATTTGGGGGTATAGAAGAGGCTGGCAGCAGCTCCCCTACAGAGGCAGTGCTATGCAAATTTCTGCTTCCTATATATGTTTTATTCCAAGTCACCCGGGACTTCAGTAGACAAAGCCAATGTGTGAGGATGCTGTACCAAGCATCTTTGCATGTGGTGGACTGGAACCACTCAGCCTGCCTAAAACTGCGTATTTAACCTGGAAGGCCATGTTCCGAACCAGCATGCCTGCAAGTCCATGGGAGGGTGCACCTAGCCTATAATGCCCCCCCCCCTTTTTTTTGACAGGCAGAGTGGACAGTGAGAGAGACAGAGAGAAAGGTCTTCCTTTTACCATTGGTTCACCCTCCAATGGCTGGCGCGGCCAGCGCACCGCGCTGATCCGAAGGCAGGAGTCAGGTGCTTCTCCTGGTCTCCCATGGGATGCAGGGCCCAAGCACTTGGGCCATCCTCCACTGCACTCCCGGGCCACAGCAGAGAGCTGGCCTAGAAGAGGGGCAACCAGGAAAGAATCCGGCGCCCCGACTGGAACTAGAACCCGGTGTGCTGGCACTGCAGGCGGAGGATTAGCCTATTGAGTCGTGGCACTGGCCTAATGCCCCCTTTTTTCAAATCAGAACACAGGACTCCCATGTTCAGGTGCCTGCTGGGCCAAGTAAAGCACGGGCTACATTTCAGGCCCTGCTTGCCAGCCTCAGCTGCCCTGGTGCAGTGAGTGGTGACCCACACCCTGTGCACAGTGGCCCTTGTCCAATGAGCCTTAGTGCCTGAAAGAAACGCAACACATCACCACTTCTCCAGGGCCTCCCAGACAGGGCTTCGGTGCAAACAAATGGGAGCCCCTCCCCCAGGCCTACCCTCGGGGATGCTTCCTTCCACAGTGGCTGTGAGACCCAAGAAACACAGGAGGCCACGTGGAGCTGGTCACTGGGAGTTGCCTGGGCATCGTCTTCCAGCTCGGCTCTGGAGTCTTGGGTGGGAAGTCCTGAGCATTGCTGGCCAGGGAGAGAACTGAACACCATGTCCTGCCCTGTGGTGCCAACCAGCCTGCCAATCGCTGCCTGCTTCCTGGTTTTGCAGCTGACAGCTGACAGATGACAATGGGGTGGGGTGTGGTGGGTGGGGAGCAGACATGAAGGGTCTCCCTGCCCACTCTCAGGTGCTCGTTCAGATTCCCCAGGGTCTTCCACTAAGGGCCAACTCTGGCACAGAGGACAGACAGGTCTTACTCTGGCCACGGCAGCAGCTGTGCCGTCTCCCCTTGTTGCATTCATCTAGGGAGGGCTCTGCTGGGAGCAGGCCCTGTGCACCTTGTGTCCGAGTATAGCTCCAGGTGCAAGGCCATAGGAGGCAATGACACTTCAGTTAGGAGAAATGGCCGCCCCGGGTGGTGCCGGAGAGCATCACAGCTCTAGTCTGGGGCTCTAGAGATGGGAACTGGGGGGTCTCAGGGACCAGAGCAAGCACTGAGGAGTTAAGGGGGAGATGAAGACCACCGCTCCTCCAGCTCCTAGGAGAACACTGAGGTTCAGCATCGCCAAGGTGCCCTTTTGGAATCGTAGCAGCTAGCGGAAGCTGAGGGAGCCGCGGCCTGGGAGGGCTGGCATCTCCATGACCGGCTTTTCTGTCTTGCCTGCCAAGGAATGCAGCAGGAAAGTCAGATGGAGACCGGCAGGCTGTGGGAGCCAGCTGTCGCTCACCTCCCTCTCCCGTGTCCTCCCAGGCGGAAGCGCAGGGCTGAGGCTCCTGGCAGGGGAGGAGAGGGCAGGCAACCAGGGCACTGGGCCAACCCAGCAGCAGCAGCAGCTCCCTGCCCAGGGGCTGCTTCCCCCCTTCCCCAGTGTTTCTCAGGGGAACAGCCCTGGACCCGACTGGAATGATTGCACAAATCCCCAGACTCAGTAGAGCCCCTGAGGTCTCCCGCCTGGACAACACGTGGCCCACAAGCTTTAGCCAGGGTTGGTTTTGATGGTAAATGGTCCTCAGACCCCTTTGAGATCCCTGGGTTACAGACAACTGGGTGCACTGAGGTCCAGCCGTCGTGAACCCCAGCCCTGGCTGGAGTCGGGGCTGGACATTCAGGGTGGGCCGGGCAGCGGCAGCATGGACATCCTGAAC